TAAATGTGTTTGTTCTTGGCAACTGTTATTTAGTTCTTGTTTAATTGTGTGTGAAATATAATGATCTTTTTTTTTCTTGACTATTACTCACTCCAGCGGCTTATTTCACCTGGGATTAATTTAAACACCTGAACGCTATCTGGTTAGGTTAGGTTAAGAGTGGTTTGGTTAGGTTAGGTTACGCGCAATTACGTTAGCATGGGGTTGGGTTAGGTTAGTTACGCGCAATTACGTTAGCATGAGTTGGGTTAGGTTAGGTTGTTAGGTTAGGTTAGGTTAGCATGGTCGTTTTAATGAGGTAATTAAATGCGAATGTTTTATCTTACTGAGAGCCAATAATGGTATACCCAGATAACACAGTACCCCATTAACGTCAACATATTAACATTTTTGTGATTATAATTAAAATGGGCTTTTATCATTCTATGTTAATATATTTGTATAGTTTGTATTTAATAATTATTTAATCTATAAACATTCAATAAAGGTATACCCGTAATCGGTGAGGACTGTACACAATGCTATTACCTGTAAAACACATAGATATAAAGGTGAATAGCAACAGACATTGACACATTCAGTAGAGATATAACAGTGCTCTAGTGGTAGGTTAGGTTTTGTTAGGTTAGGTTTAGAACACAATGGTAGATGTATTCCCTGTCGGTATGTTGGTCGAGAGCCAATCAGTGCCCGGCGTGCCTAAGGACGGGTTTTGTAAAGGTTGAGCAAGGTGACTGAACTGCTGTATACTGACCAACTTGTGACAATAATAATGATAATAATGGTGTTAATAATAATAAAACAATAATAACAATAATAATAATGATGATGATAATGACAAATCAAGATCATTTAAGCACAACAACAACCACAACATCCACAACAACAACAACCACGTCAACCATCATACAGCAACCACCACCACTACCTCAACAACAACCACCACCACTACTCAACCACCACCTCACCACCACAACACAAGATAAACACAGCCAGCAATAGACTTAAACTAAGGTCAGGTCTTCTCACTGCCGCGGTATTCAAAGCTTTGTTACCGCCAAAATATTTACACTCTTGTGACGTCAAGTGTTGCTCTCAGTAGTCGAGGAGAGGGGAGAGGTAAAGGGGTGAGGGTGAGGGATACGGACGGAAGGGGTGGGGGGAGAAGGAGGAGGGAGGGGAAGGAGGGTTATGAGCCTTGGCTGTTTATTTCTCAGAGAATTCCGGCGTTCAACTTGTGTGTGTCTCTCTCTCTCTCTCTCTCTTCTCTCTCTGTCTTTACATGTGCTGGTAGGGAGGAGAAGGGAGGAAGGAGAAAATAAGAGGAAAGGGAGGTGGGGTGAGGAGGAGGGGAAGGAGATGGACATGATGAGAAAGGAGGGAAGGTAGTAGGACTGTGTAGGGGAAGGGTGAGGAGGGAGAGGAGGAGAGGTAGTAGGACTGTGTAGGGAAGGTGAGGAGGAGAGGGGTGAAATAAGAGAAAGTGGACTATCTTGATGAGCCCTTGGTCTTGCGTACCGGAAGGTACAGTTCCCTTCACTAGTGCGTTTACAGGGCCTGTTATATAGCCTAGGTACAGTCCCCTTCACTAGTGCGTTTACAGGGGCTCGTCATATAGCCTAGGTACAGTCCCCTTCACTAGTGCGTTTACAGGGTTCGTCATATAGCCTAGTACAGTCCCCTCACTAGTACGTTTACAGGGCTCTCATATAGCCTAGGTACAGTCCTCTACTAGTGCGTTTACAGGAGCTCGTTATATAGCCCAGGTACAGTCCCTTCACTAGTGCGTTTACAGGGCTCGTCATATAGCCTAGGTACAGTCCCTTCACTAGTGCATTTACAGGCCTGCTCATATAGCCTAGGTACAGTCCCCTTCACTAGTGCGTTTACAGGGGCTCGTTATATAGCCTAGGTACAGTCCTTCACTAGTGCGTTTACAGGGGCTCGTCATATAGCCTAGGTACAGTCCCTTCACTAAGTGCGTTTACAGGGCTTGTTATATAGCCTAGTACAGTCCCCTTCACTAGTGCGTTTACAGGGGCTCGTTATATAGCCTAGGTACAGTCCCCTTCACTAGTGCGTTTACAGGGGCTCGTTATATAGCCTAGGTACAGTTCCTTCACTAGTGCGTTTACAGGGGCTCGTTATATAGCCTAGGTACAGTCCTTCACTAGTGCGTTTACAGGGGCTTGTTATATAGCCTAGGTACAGTCACTAGTGCCTACAGGGGCTCGTTATATAGCCCTAGGTACAGTCCCCTTCACTAGTGCGTTTACAGGGGCGTTATCTAGCCTAGGAACAGTCCCCTTCACTAATGCGTTTAGTCGTTATATAGCCTGGTACAGTCCTTCTTTAGTGCGTTTACAGGGCTCGTTATAGCCTAGGTACAGTCCTTCACTAATGCGTTTGGGGCTCGTTAGCCTTAGTAGGTACAGTCCCTTCACTAGTGCGTTTTAGTCGTTATATAGCCCAGGTACAGTCCTTCACTAATGCGTTTACGGACTCGTTATATAGCCTAGGTACAGTCCTTCACTAGTGCGTTTAGTCGTCATATAGCCTAGGTACAGTCCTTCACTAATGCGTTTAGTCGTTATATAGCCTAGGTACAGTCCTTCACTAGTGCGTTTAGGGGCTCGTTATATAGCCTAGGTACAGTCCCCTTCACTAATGCGTTTACAGGGCTCGTCATATAGCCTAGTGATCACTCCCTTCACTGTGCGTTTACAGGGGCTCGTCATATAGCTTAGGTACAGTCCCTTCACGAGTTACCAGTTATTGAATAAGATGTACACGTTATTGCTAAGCTTACACGAGGACAAGGTAATGTGCTCCTGAGACCAATTAATTGGGATTCAGGTGCCATCCGCCCTTCCTCCCTCCCTCCTTACCCCTTCCTCCTCCCTCCCCCTCTCTTACTCTCTACCACCGGAGTATGCTGGTGGTGGTTGTTGATTATATTAAGGATAATTTGGTTATGGGTACAGTGAGCGACTTGACTTGCTGGCCATTTTGACTCTCTCTCTCCCCCCCCCCCCCCCCCCCCCCCCCCCCCCCCCCCCCCCCCCCCTACGTGTGTGTATGTGTGTGTGTGTGTGTGTGTGTGTGGCTGAGTAAGCTTTGGGTTGTGGTCAGATATAAACATTGCGTTTATGGTTTCAATATACTGTAGTAATTTAGAATCAGCAGTACAGGTAAAATTACAAGTACAAACACGGTACAGATGTTAGTACAGTAAGGGTATAGGTACGGATACATATACAGGTACAAGTACAGCTAAGGGTACAGGTATATCTACTTGGTAAGAACATACAGGAACAAGGATACGTATATACAGTCGCAGGTACAGGTGAAGGTACAGGTATAACAAGTACAGGTACCTACAAGTACACGGTCATTAATTAGTGGGTCATTTAAGTATTTCTTCTACATTGTATAAATATTATTATTATTATTATTATTATTTATTATTATTATTATTATTATTATTATTATTATTATTATTATTATTATTATTATTATTATTATTATTGGTATTATTATTATTATTATTATTATTATTATTATTATTATTATTGGTATTATTATTATTATTATTGTTATTATTATTATTATTATTATTATTATTATTATTATTATTATTATTATTATTGGTATTATTATTATTATTATTGGTATTATTATTATTATTATTATTATTATTATTATTATTATTATTATTATTATTGATTATTATTATTATTATTATTATTATTATTATTATTATTATATATTTGTCTTTGTGTCTTGCCTGATGGAGTGTCTGCTGGGCACGCTGGGTTGAGTCTCCTGGGCATGTTTGGATCTGCTGAGCATGTTAGGTCCTGCTGGGCATGTTTTGGGTCAGTTGGGCATGTTTGGGTCTGCTGGGAAAGTTGGATCTGCTGGGCATGTTGGGTCTGCTGGGCATGTTTTGGGTCTGCTGGGAAAGTTGGATCTGCTGGGCATGTTAGGTCTGCTGGCATGTTTGGTCTTCTCGTGTTTTGTCTGCTAGTGGATCTGCGCATGTTAGGTCTGCTGGGCATGTTTTGGGTCTGCTGGGAAAGTTGGATCTGCTGGGCATGTTAGGTCTGCTGGGCATGTTTTGGGTCTGCTGGGAAAGTTGGATCTGCTGGGCATGTTAGGTCTGCTGGGCATGTTTTGGGTCTGCTGGGAAAGTTGATCTGCTGGGCATGTTAGGTCTGCTGGGCATGTTTTGGGTTCTGCTGTATGTAGGTCGGTGATGGCTGTGTTACCACGCCATCCAGCAATAATGTTATGATGGACACGACCCGACCACAACGACCCGACCACGACCCGACCACGACCCGACCACGGCCCGACCACGACACGACCACGCACCACGACCCGACCACGACCTGACCACACGACCTGACCACGACCTGACCGACCCGACCACGGCCCGACCACGACCTGACCATCGACACGACCACACGTCCGACCACGGCCGACCACACGACCTCGACCACACGACCTGACCACGACCCGACCGCCATGACCGACCACACGACCTGACCACGACCTGACCACGACCTGACCACGACACGACCACGACCGACCTGACCACACGACCCGGCCCGACCACGACCCGACCACGACCCGACCACGCCCCGACTCGACTCAGCGACACGCTGACAATGTGTCTTTACTGTTTTTGGGACATGTATAACACTGTCCCAGCAGTGTATTAGGACATGCATACTAGTTAGTTACCTAATTAGTGATGATATGTTGATAAGGTACAGTAATAGGACAGGTGTAACAGGTGTAACAAATGTCTATCAGGTGTAACAAGAGATCTAACAGGTGTAACAGCGGTCTAACAGGTGTAACAGAGGTCAACTAGGTGTAACAGAGGTCCAACAGGTGTACAAATGTCTAACAGGTGTAACAGAGGGCTAACAGGTGTAACAGAGTGCAACAGGTGTAACAGAGGTCTAACAGGTGTCTCTTTTGTCCAACAGTCCTCCATCGAACGTGAAGGTGCTGCCTACCACCTCCCGGACACAGCTCAAACAACAGCTGATGCGCCAACAGCAGCAGCAACAGGAGGCCAGAGACAGGGACGTTGCTGCATCTCGACTACACCACCATCACCAACTGCAACACAACAACAACAACAACAACAACATCAACATCAAATACAACAACAGCAACAACAACAACAGCATAATCTCCAGCATCAGCAACAACAACAGCTGATTTATCGCAACAACAACAACAACAACAAAAGCAGCAGCAGCAGCAACAAACAACAACAACAACAACAACAACACATCACAGACCTCAGGAGGCATCGCTATCCCAGCCTCAGTGCCTCCGACGTGCCTCCCAGGTGTTACAGGAGTGTATCATCCTCCCTCTAACATCCTCCACCCCCTCCCTCCAACACCCTCCTCCCATCACCCTCCATCACCCCCTACCTCCAACACCTCCAACACCTCCCAACACCTCCTCTAACACCCTCCAACACCCTCCCTCCAACACCCCTCCAACACCCCTACCTCCAACACCCCTACCTCCAACACCCCTCCCCCAACACCCCTCCCTCCAACACCCCTCCCTCCAACACCCTCCCTCCAACACCTCCTCCAACACCTCCTCCTCTAACACTTCTCACTCCTCTAACACCCCTCCAACACCCTCCTCCAACACCTCCTCCAACATTCTCCTCCAACACCCTCCAACACCCTACCTCCAACACCCTCCTCCAACACCCTCCCTCCAACACCCCTCCTCCAATACCCTCCAACACCTCTAACACCTCCAACACCTCCAACACCCTCCTCCAACACCCTCCTCCAACACCCCTCCTCCAACACCCTCCCTCCATCACCCCTACCTCCAACACCCTCCCTCCAACACCCCTCCCTCCAACACCCTCCCTCCAACACCCTCTCTCCAACACCTCCCCACACCCTCCCTCCAACACCTCCAACACCTCCTCCAACACCTCCAACACCCTCCTCCAACACCTCTCCTCCAACACCCTCCTCCAACACCTCCAACACCTCCAACACCCCCTCCAACACCCTCCTCCAACCCCTCCCTCTAACACCCTCCCTCCAACACCTCCTCCAACACCCCCTCCAACACTCCAACACCCTACCTCCAACACCCCCTCCTCCAACACCCTCCTCCAACACCCTCCCTCCAACACCCCTCATATACCAGTACCTCTCATGTCCGTATCAATAAACATCTTCACCAAGTTGTCATTGTGGTAGAAGTAGAGAAGCATCTCTATATAAACTGACATCCTATAAACTGGCATCTCATATAAACTGGCATCTCTATATAAACTGCATCTCTATATAAACTGGCATCTCTATATAAACTGGCATCTCTATATAAACTGGCATCTCTATATAAACGGCATCTTTATATAAACTGCATCTCTATATAAACTGGCATCTTTATATAAACTGGCATCTCTATATAAACTGGCATCTTTATAACCAATCTCTATATAAACTGGCATCTCTATATAAACTGGCATCCTATATAAACTGGCATCTCTATATAAACTGCATCTCTATATAAACTGGCATCTCTATATAAACCTCTCTATATAAACTAGCATCTATAATCTATATAAACTGGCATCTCTATATAAACTGGCATCTTTATATAAACTACATCTCTATTTAAACTGGCATCCTATAAACTGGCATCTCTATATAAACTGGCATCTCTATATAAACTGGCATCTTTATATAAACTGGCATCTCTATATAAACTGGCATCTTTATATAAACGGCATCTCTATATAAACATATTCTATATAAACTGGCATCTCTAAACCATTCTATATAAACTGGCATCTCTATATAAACTGGCATCTCTATATAAACTGGCATCTCTATAAACTGGCATCCTATATAAACGGCATCTTTATATAAACTGCACTTATATAAACTGCATCTTTATATAAACTGTCTCTATATAAACTGGCATCTCTATATAAACTGGCATCTTTATATAAACTGGCATCTCTATATAAACTAGCATCTTTATATAAACCGCATCTCTATATAAACTGGCATCTCTATATAAACTGGCATCTCTATATAAACTGCATCTCTATATAAACTGGCATCTCTATATAAACTGGCATCTCTATATAAACTGGCATCTCTATAACTAGCATCTCTATATAAACTGCCATCTCTATATAAACCCATCTCATATAAACTGGCATCTCTATATAAACTGGCATCTCTATATAAACTGGCATCTCTATATAAACTGGCATCCTATATAAACTGGCATCTCTTATAAACTGACATCTCTATATAAACTGGCATCTCTATATAAACTGATCTCGATATAAACTGGCATCTCTTAATCATATTCAGTGATCCCAATAACGTAATCTTTTCACCTGTCATCTTCATTAATGAGATACAATTAAGGTGAACCATAAAACCCCAATAATAAAAGGTAAATGAGAGACAGGTGAGACAGAGAGATAGGCGAGAGAAAAGAGTCAGGTGAGACGAAAGGTGAGAGACAGAAATAGTTGAAACAGTGAATAACACACACACACACACACACACACACACACACACACACACACACACACACACACACACACACACACACACACACACTTGTTCCTATCCTCACCTTGCATATTAAGTGAGAGACATAAGTATTCACATTGGCTTCGACTACAGAGACCCATAACAAATCATCAGACATAGAAAGTAATGTGTTTATGATCTACCTGATACATAAACTGTACTCTGGATGCAAATTGTACTCTGATACATAAATTGTAATTTGGTATAAATTGTACTCTGGGTCCATAAATTGTACTCTGTATACATAAATTGTACTTGATACATAAATTGTACCTGGGTTCATAAATTGTACTCTGGATAACTGGTCTATAAATTGTACCTGGATAGTACATAAACCCATTTTTATATATTATATCCTTGTTATTTGTTATGGTGAGGAGTGTGAGGCAGACTTGTGGGTAGATGGATAGATAGATAGACCTGGGTGGATAGATAGATCAATGGATAGACTGAGATGGATAGATAGATAGACTGTGGGTAGATAGATGGATAGTTTGGGTAGATAGATCTATTGATTGATAGATAGATAGATAGACTGAGATGGATAGATAGATAAGAACTATGTCCTCCTGCACCTTCAGGAGGTCTTGACAGTGACCAAGCAGAGGGTGATGGGTCTTACTTACCTTGGCTGTCCCGCCGTCAACCAGAATAGTTCTCCTGGTCACACACACACACACACACACACACACACACACACACACACACACACACACATATACACACAAGTTATAAGGAGAGATCTTCGTTGGACACTAGACCATTAAAACCTAACCTAACCTAACCTGGTGTGTCCTGTTGTTCACCTCCTACTCGTACTACTCCTCAGGTTCCTCAGTCCTCATCCGTCACGTTGTTCCTACCTTCTGGCATGCTCTGGTACTTGATGTTACTAACACGCTGTACTCTCAGACACTTATACCTGAAGGAGTCGACCGTGTTGAAGACATCCTGTGTCGTCAGTAGCTTCCTCTACAGTTAGTGGCGCCGAGTACTCATCTCCCCACCCACACCCTCCCTCACCTCTGACTCTCCTCACCCACCTCCTCCTCAACCCCTCACCCACACCCCCCCCCACCCCTCCCCACCCTCACCCACACCTCCCTCACCCACACCCTCCCTCATCTTCAACTCTCCCTCACCCACACCCTCCCCACCCACACCCCTCCCTCACCCACATCCCTCACCCACACCTCTCCCTCACCTTCAACCTCCTGCCCACACCCTCACCCCCCCCACCCCCCCCCACATCCTCACCACACCCCCCACCTTCATCTCCCCACCCACCCCCTCACCCACCTCTCCTCACCTCAACCCTCCTCACCCACACCCTCCTCACTCACACCTCCCCCACACACCTCCCTCACCTACAACCTCCCTTACCCACACCTCACCTCCAGCCTCCCCTGAAGCTTCGGATAGACCGGTAGTGGCGGATGAAAGATGAATATCCTTGTAGTGGAGTGGATAGAGGATAGAAAGATGCCTGAGGTGGAGGAGGTGGGGGGATAAGGGGTGAGGGATGGAGGAGGAGGGGGGGGCAATAAGTTAGTTCCCTGGGCTGGCTGGGGACATGTAATACATGACCTCGACACATACTTACATACCTAGGACCTATGGTCAGCATACTCGCCTGGCAAGCTAGCGAAACCCTGTTCGATCCCAGGCAGGGTGAAACTGTGGGCAAGTTTCTTTACGCCATTTGCCTCTGTCTATCCAGCAGTAATTGGGGACCTGATGTTAATCGATTTGTATTGTAAAATGGTTAGGTTAGGTTAGTCGCTTTGAAGTATGTGTGTGTGTGTGTGTGTGTGTGTTTATGACTTCTCTTGTGTGTGTGTGAATGTCTGTGTATGTGTGTGACTGTCTTTTCTGTGAATCTACCTGTTGACCTACCTGACTGACGCCATACAACTGTCCCTCTCCGTCCCACATCAAACACAGGAATATAACCGATCGTAAACAACATCTCATTCTGTAGTGTCAAGGTTTATCGTGTGCTGTTAAATGAGTCAATGTGTTTACAAAAATACAACTAGTACATATTTTACTTCTGTTATAATGGTTGTAGGTAGTGTAGTGTAGTGGTGTTGTGTAGTGTGTAGTGTGGTGTATGTAGTGTAGTGTAGTGTGGTGTGGTGTAGTGTTGTGTGTGTGTGTGTAGTGTTGAAGTGCTTTGATCTTTAGTTAAGGTGAGGTTGAGTTGATGGTTGTGGAAAGTGGATGATAGATGGATAGATTTGTAGGTGAATAAATATATGGGTGTTTAAATAGTCGTTGATAGATAGATAATACAGAAGACAGACAGACAGTCAGATATATGCACATATTGAGAAGTCACATATATATCGTCACAGTTCAGTATCAACACACACACACACACACACACACACACACACACACACACACACACACACACACACTGCTCACTAATTGTCAATTTACGACCCATAAGTCACCTACGCTACAGGTATATACATCTAATTTAATAAGTATACTTACGGATATTACAAGTTTTTTAAGTATATATAAGATATATAGTATATTATCACCCTGGGTGGTGCTTAAGCTGAAGTCATGGTGTAATTTCGCCGCCATTACGTCATAGGCTTACAG